TTTTTTCTTAAACCCCAAATGCCGAGCTCTTAGGACTCGAGCCTTCTAACAACACTACCTACAGTTTATAACGAAAGAACCCACGTCTGACAGCATGTTTTATTCATTTAATAAAACAATATCGTCGACTTATTGCAATCATTAAGAGAAATTACTTAACTTTAAATCACAAAGTATTTTGAAAATTGTTTACCCCTTGTAAAATCAGAAATTTACGCTCTTGTAACTACGACATATAAAAGGATTGGTATTATTTAGCTGTTTTTTTATAAATAAATAAAATCGAAATTCACAAAATCTCCTTAAAAAATCATCACCATTAAAGAAGTAATTAGTGTCTGTATTCAATAAACCGACTTTTATACTATTATATACCTGGAATAAACATAAAAGAATGAGCAACCTAAACAACAGATTTCTTTTCAGCTCAAACTTTAATTCAAGGAACAACCAAAGATGCAATACTACTAACAAACATCATGTAGAACAGTCCACTATATTATAAAAATTGTAAAACAATTTAAAAATTTCATTAATAAACACATATAAAAAAACAAGTAAGCAAGGTTCGACCCGGGTCTTTTAATGCTGAGCTCTTAGAACTCGAGTCTTGGCCGATTCCGGAAATCTCGAGTCTTTCGAGCTTTCTCAGCGAGCTTTTTTACAACAATACATCGAAGTGTAGGTGGTGATCACATGTAAGGCAGTTTCCGGGGGACCACAACTGGAGCATAGAGGATCGATATCTTTTCCAAGACTGCGTAATTTGTAACTGTGGGCACGAGTTGGCACCATGTCCAGTGAGGAATTGAGACACCCAATAGTCTGGTTTGATCCGTTGGGGGCGTGGTGGCCGAATATACTAACGTGTGTGCACAGCTCCACGAGTTTCCCGGAAAACAGATAACCAAGTTTTGAGATTTGAAAAAAAAAGTACGAGTTCGCGTCCCGCGGTGCCAGAGGGGATTTTAAATTCCCCTCCCTCAACCACCGGCCCGAGAAAATCCCGTATAGCCTAAAAAATGAGGTAGGGAAGAACAACAAGTCAGGTTTGATCCATCTGGGTACTAGTTGAGACTGGACAATGGGAAAATACGTTACATAAAGTATGGAACCGAGATTCTCGTATAGAAAATATGCATTTATAGCATAAAAAATTTAAAAAAGTATTTGGTAGAAGTATTCTCCATCGTTAGTATCCATTTCAATATTAATTTTTGAACACCATGCAAGAACAAAATGTTGCTCTTTTGTGTCAAACCAGTCATAAAGACATTTTTACATTTCAATAAGAAGTAAAAGACTGTTGTGTAAATAGCACTTCGATTCAATAAATAGTTAGACGGAGCTAAGTCAAGTGGCTGAGCTGCATGCCCTAATATTTCCCAACTGAACGCTTCCCTCATTTCGTCCAATAGTTTTACTGTGTTGGATGGTTCAATAAATGATATTCTGATCATTTTTCACCCAATACTCCATTCAAATCGATCATTTGTTGTCGAAAGCGTTCACTATTTACGGTTTAGTCAGATTTTAGCTGCTCATAATAGACCACGACGAGATCCCAAGTTCTTCCTTTCTAACATCAAAATCGGAACTTTTGAACTTTACAAATCGTAATTAGCAGACACAAAACTGAACGCGCTCAACGCTATTAAAGTGATGGTGCTACATGAAACTTATATTGCTATATGAAATTGCTTTGAGTTGAAAATCTTTGCTAGTTGTCGGAGAAACAAAATGACACCGATAATGTACTTTAACCGTTACTACCATTTTTTTAGTGAAAAATTGTAGGACTTGTCCCATTTGGCTAAAATAGTATACCACTTCGTTTTTATTATACCACCAACAAAATGAATAAGAATCAAATTCAATGAAACTTTTTAAATATAATATGGATTTCTGAATGTTCGTCGCTGACGAATTATTTGAGGATATAATTTTTTGTGAATTAATATTATATGTTCTTATTATTAGCTCAATTATTTTTTCTTCTCTTCAATTATTTAAAATGCATCCTTTTAACTATTAAGTTATTTTATTTACTATGAATTAATCCAATCAGCACCTATTTATTTGTTTTATCTTCGCCTCTACCATAAAAGATCATAGGCGTTATTCTGTTTGTCTTTTCTTATATTTTTATTTTCAGTTACCTATATAATAGTAAGGGAAAGTATTGCGATTGTGAAAATTTTCGAATCTCAGTTTTCAGCGGAAATAAACGTTTTGAGGTTTCCTGAGTCCAAATAACCAAGTTGCGCAAAATGGTCTGTGTGTTTGTGTGTGTCGTAAAAAAAAAAATTCTTACGAAATTCAAATTACATATTTAAGGTTTTTATAGGCCTGAAATGTTACAGCAGCTTTTTCATCAAAATCGACTGATCGGAAGTGACACTTTATATAATCCATTTAACACATTTTTCTCAAAAACGGCTTAAACGATTTTGGTTAAATTCATAATACCATTGTTCTTTATATAATGTAGGTTTTATTCTCATTGATGATCTCTAAAAGGGCTTTAATGCATAATGTTCAATATTAGCTTCCTCTAAAGTGCCTTTAATTTTTTTATTTTAAACAATTAACCATTTCACATTGATCTGTGATACAGAAAATAGATAAATATAAAATATGAATGAATTTGATAAATAATGAAAGCAGAAATAAGAGATCGTAACGGAGAATAGTTGTGATGGAGGAACCAAAGGATACGAGCGATCCCAAGCACGCCCGAAAGATTAGAACAGTCTCCCAAAACTAATAATAACTAAATATTATGTAGACTCCTACAATATTATGTACACATAGGTTTTTATCAATTCTATCCTTGGTATTATTTATTATTAATAGTATAGATTACAGAGATATAAATATTAAAATTTGTATATATAAGAGTATTATTTAAACAAATAAAATACCCACAATGAAATTTATAGTGCCTATAATTTTTACTTCCACTTCCCCTTTGTCTGAAAATACAATACTCATTTCTACTAAGAGGGTGATAAGTGAAAGTTGTGTGATGCGCTGTTATTTAGTAGCGTTGGACTGTTCTTCATGATGTTTGTTACTGGTATTACGTCTTTGATGGTTCCTTGAATTAAAGTTTTAGCTGAAAAAAAGTCTATTGTTTAGGTTGCTCATTCTTTTCTGTTTATTACAGGTATATAATAGAATAAAAGTCGGTTTATTGAATACAGACACTAATTACTTCTTTAATGGTGCTGATTTTTTAAGAACGTTTTGTGAATTTCGATTTTATTTATTTATAAAAGCAGCTAAATAATACAAACCCTTTTGTAAGTCGTAGTTACAAGCGCGTACATTTCTGATTTTACCAGGAGTAAACAATTATTAAAATACCAAAAGATTTTTTGATATAGATTGAAAGTTTGAAAAAAATTCATACTTTTTTCGATGCTGTTTTTGCTGTCTTCTAAGAGCTCTAAGGTTTCATAATAGCTACATAGAGATTCGGGATGTTAAGTATTTATTACAGTCTAATATTTATTTTATAATGCCCAAAATTAAAAAAAAATTAACATTTTGAAAAATTAAATTTTTAACATAATAAATCATATCACGCCGAGTGAAGTGCCGCTGGGCACTGATCCTCCTCACAACTTTCATGACATTATATTTAGGAATCGATCTCACATTCACTGGTTGTCATTACCATTATGACAGGTGTGAATAAAAAAATTAAACCAAAAAACATAATAAATGAAAATAAGAAACAAATTGAGACGAAATCTCATCTTATATAGTTTATAATATTATGCAAAAATCATGTAAATAATCATATTAAAGACATAAATAAATAATATCAAGAGAAGAAAAGAAAATCATTCTTTATTCTTGTCGGTGTTCCTCAAGGTAGTATCCTAGGTCCTATCCTTTACACAGTTTATACAGCTGACATCCCAACCCAATCCAACACTGCCATCACCACCTATGCCGATGACACGTGTATCCTATCAGTTAATAACGATCCTTTAACTGCATCCCAAACTCTTCAATCACATATCACAAGCCTTGAAGAATGGTGTAAAAAATGGAGAATAAAAATAAATTCCAACAAATCCCTTCAAATCACCTTTACCCTCCGTCGTAAACCTATGACCTCTTGTCTTACAGTATCCTTCACTAATACTCCACTTATTCCTGTTGAGCAAATCCGCTACTTAGGACTCCACCTTGACAAACGACTCACTTGAAACCCCCCATACCAGACTGAAACGACTAGAAACCGCCCGACGTTTTCGACTACTGCAGCACTTACTAGACAAACGATCTAAGCTTTCAATCAATTATAAACGACTCGTATATATGACAATAATAAGACCTATTTGGACTTACGGAATTGAGCTTTGGGGCTCCACTAAACCATCGAATTCCTCTCGTATCCAATCCTTACAATCCAAAATTCTTCGTAAAATCCTCAACGCTCCTTACTTTGTCACAAATAAAATCATCCATAAAGACCTTAATGTTCCATATGTTTCCGATCTGGCCCAATCCAGATACCTTTCCTTCCATAACAAACTGCACAACCATCCGAATCCTCTCGTTTCAAACCTTGCTTCCTCCTCGATCCCTGATAACCCTCCGAGGCGTCTGAAAAGAAGATGGCCTCGGGATCTTCTAATATAAAACTTTAATTTGAGTTCTACCAATGGGTAGTTTCTCTTCATATTGTACATGCCATGTTACAAATTTCTCATTTACTTATTGTATTCTCTATGTAATACAGTTGTAAATTTCATTAAAATAATAATAAAAAAAAATTCTTTATTCTCTTTTGGAAGAATATTAAGTACGATAAGGATTATAATATATATTATTATTTATCCTTCGTACAAAAGAATAAGGTTCCGTTAGCATTGTGTCTATGATTTTCAGCACTCCTTGAATATTTTTCAAATTCAGCCTCGTATCTCTAGGGTTTGGGTTTTTTTTTTTTATATTAAATCTGTCGCAATGCCATTATTAAAATGCCCAACTCACGATTTGATAAAGGAGAACGAACTAAAATAAATAATGCTCAAGAGAAGAGTAACAGTTACGCAAGTATTGCAGCGTCTGTAATGAGCTCGAAACGTGAGTGGCCCATCTTATTACGTTGCGTAGGTACTTTAAGTTTGGAAGAAAAAAACGCTCTGTATGATATTCCATACCATAAGAGAAGATTACTGGTAGGTTAGATTTTAATATTATAGGATAACCAGACGTCAGGCTTTTGACGTTGAATTATGAAATCGAAACAACTATTAAAAATATAATGATTAATGATTACAAACATACATGCTGTAATGATTACAAAATTTATAATTAAATCAGAAGCAATGAAATAAAAGTTAGCTCCACAATATTTTTTCAAGAGCCTACGACTCATCCTGTCTTAGTCCCTCAATCTAAATCTTAAGGTAATCCTTAGATAGATTGTATATTATCGGTTTTTAATATTTACTAATACTAGACAATTTTAGTCGCTACATGTAAAGAATTGGTAGAACCATTATAATTTTGCATTTAACTCTTTCAATTTTTCATTCGGGGTTTAGTTAGATTTCCCCATTATGAAAAATGACAGTAATATCTTTATAGTATGTAGTGGTAATATTTTTTAAAATTTTATTAGATATCCGATAAAAATAAATAAAAATCGTGTAAAGCTGCAAGACCAGTTTTAGCCACGTTACTGTTTATTGAATTTTATAGACTTATTTTAATTATTATTTACATTGCTTAAGTTCATCAAATAAATCGTGTTCTAATAATTTCTCTGATAGGTTATCAGAAAAATTAGTCTAATTCAATTTTGTTGTTTTTAATGAAGATATAAAATTGTAAAAAAAAAAAAAAAGTTTAAAATTGGTAGGAAAGTTATGAGAGTGAACACACCACATTTTTTATTGAAATAATTGGTGACATTGTATAGATTGTCTTTACTATACAACTCTTCCATTGTTGGGTCATATCTTTCTTTACAATGCCTATAATTTATTATGAAGTTAGTTTTTTTAATTTGATTACACTTTACTATGTTTATCTTTTTATAATAAATCATAATTTTATAATAAATAAAACAAGTACTGCCATAGAGTAGTGTTCTATATACACATGCATATTTTAAAGAGAAAAAAATTCAGTAATAGTATTAATTTAGTGTTTTGTTTTGTTTTTTAAAAAAAAAAAGAAAAATAATTTTTGAAAATGGCTTTTGGAGCCAAAGCGTTAAAAAATAATAATAAGTATTAATGTTTTAAAATTGTTAATATGGAGTGTGAGATTAAATTTTATAAAAAATAATCTTATATAGATCAAATATAACAGAAATATTAAGTCCAGAGAATTATCATACTTTATGTTAATTGTCGTTTGTAATAAGTTTGTAATTATAAACAATGTAGTATCGTTTAATGATTATTAAATTTAAAAAAAATAATTTTTAGTCTACAGTAGTTAATGAAAGTTATGTGATGTTCCGTACCAAATATTTTGTTTAATTATTAAAGATTATTGTTAATTTATGATCGACACAGTGCGCGGAACTTATGAAAGTTCGATTCGTGTAAGCCGTCGCTTATCTGCCAACTATTGTTCTTACCTCACTCCGATATCTAAATTGTCTGATGCTTGATTTCATCGACCGAATTCCGCTTGGTCATTGTTAGAATGTCTTGAGGAAGAGACTCTTCTTCATTTGGTCTGAGCTTTCTAAATTGTACTTTCTACGCACCAATATTAACAAACCAACAGCTTTGTTATTTGGAGCAGGATAAAAACATGAAATATTAAGCGAGACATTTTTTCTATAATTGTCAAATTAAGTGATCTCTTATGGAGCTTCCCTAGTGTAGTTCTTAATTTTGAAGCTCAAAATAAAATTTAACATTGACATTCATATTTCATTATATTTATGTTACAATACTTAAGGTTGTAGATATGTGTGCTTAATGAAAGTTAATTGGAACAATTAAACATAAAGATCTTTTCAATTAGCTATAACATAAAATTAGAATTTATTCAATTTAAGAAGATTAAATTTGGAAATGATAAATATTAACTAATCTTTCCAAGTTTTCTCCTGTCTTAGAACTATGATCGGCGGAACTGGAATAGTACAACCAGAAATATCCGGTGTAATTGGCAAAGCTATTACTATATACTATTCCCACTAGTATAGCAACCCAATTGTGGAAAAGTGAGAGGTTAATATAGATGTCTAGCTTCATATTTTCAAGGTCATATATGGAACACAGAGCTGGCTGGATCTTTCCAGACAAATAGGATAGTGCAACTGCTGCAGTGGTTTAACGTGCGAGGAATGGTTTAAAAAAAAACCTATGGATAGAATTAGGAATGAAACCGTAATGGTAAAATTAAAAATCTCTGGAATGAACGAGACATTAGAGAAGAGACAGTTGGTGCAGGCAATAGTTAAGTAAACTAAGGCCTGATCGAGATCCACGCAAATTGGTGGAGGCGAGACCAGTAGGTACGAGACATAGAGGAAGACCTCGACTTAGCTATAATAGCTATATTTCCTAATTTGGTCAAGCGAGAGTAAAGAAGTTGCTGGAGTTGATGGCTCTTCCGAGAGACCGATATAAGGAGATCCTGGGTTGGATCAATCTAACGCTGAAAGGAAGTTCAGAAGAAGAAGTGTTAATATCTGAAAGAATAATTTTTGTAAGAGAAGAACTTTGGAGTGATTTCATAGCTAAGAAGCGAACAAATATATTAATAATAAATTCATTTTACACGAAACAAAAATGTATCTGGGGCATTACATTGTCTCAAGCTTACTATTGTCAGCATACTAAAAGAAATGAATTACTTTTGAAACTATATAATAATTTTGTTAGTGAAGCTTCCTTAAATATGTATATATTTTATAAATTTAAGCTTACATTTTCGCCCTATCTCCTTTTTATCCTGGAAAAATGATAGAAAAGCTCGTCCTAAAACGCTTGTACCCCATCCTTGATTACAATCACATTATCCTAGACCATCAATTTGACGGTGAGTGTGTAATACAGATTTCGCAGATTCCATTCCACTATCCAGCAATGCTATCGACCATAATGTGTGTTGTGTCCTCTGCACTGGAGCTCGGAATGTACTGCACGGGAGTCTTTCTCGATGTAGAACAGGCTTTTGATCGAGTCTGGCACCTGGTTGCTTTACAAACTGCTTTACAAAAACCTTGAAGAAAGGTTTCAAAACTAGAGGATTAATATATCCCATCAAATTACCTTTACCCTTCGTCGTAAACCTATGTCCTCCTGTCCTACAGTATCCTTTAATAATACCCCACTTATCCCTGTTGAACAAATCCGATACCTTGGACCCACTTAGAAAAACGTCTAACTTGGAATCCTCATACCTAACTTAAACGACAAGAAACCGCTCGAGGTTCCAGACAACTACAGCCCTTACTAGAGAAACGCTCTAAGCTTCCAGTTAGTCACAAAAAACTCATATACATGACTATAGTAACATCTATTTGGACTTACGGAGTTGAGCTCTGGGACTCCACTAAGCCATCGAATTTCTCTGGTATCCAAAATCCTTCGTAAAATCTTCAATGCTCCTTACTTTGTCACAAATAAAATCATCCATAAAGACCTTAATGTTTAGATAATCCATAACGACATATGTCTCTGTCCTGGTTCAATCCAGACACCTATCTTTCCATAACAAACTTCAAAACCATCCAAACCCTCTCGTTTCCAACCTCGATATCTCCTTTTGTAAATACATTTTTAGAGTGCTACCAGTATGTAGTTTCTCAACAAGTTGTTTTATGTTATATTCTTGCGTTTATATGTACTGAATGTAATTTTATTTGTAATACATTTGTAAATTTAATAATTAAAAAAAAAGTCTTCACTTACATAAGGCTTTCCGAAACTAATATACTTTATTCACCTCTCAGGACAGTATCAGCGATTTTTAGGGCTTTAGGATAAAGTTTACAGAAAAGTTTGCTACTTCACGAGATTTCCTACACTTACTGAGGTCATCCCCTGATTTTTTCTCTTATAACATATAAATATATCATATATATAATTATTTCTATCCCTTGCATCAGGCAATCCAATGCTCTTTTAGGTACAAATTCATAAATGCTCAGCAGTAGTCTTAAGCGGCACAATAGGTCACCAATTGTTGTTCTTAAAACTATTATATTTAATAAATCCTAAACTTTTTGATTTGTTCACAATATAATATATTTTCCATTTTCTTTTTTTTTTAACAACTTACGAAAATCTTCAGACGGTCGTTAATTTGGTTTCACGGATTTTGAAGAAATAAATCCTAATAATTCTCAAGGTGACTTTCCACAAACACTTCAGTGACTGCAGTCAAACAGCGAAACGTCAGGGTCACTGTCTGGATGAAGCAATAGTCCGGACTGCTTCAATTTCTTGAGATATTGCGTTCGACAAACGTGAATGATGCCGAGGTTTTTTTGTGTTGAAAAAAATCTTAGTTCCAAAAAAGTCTGGGATAAAAGTCTGGGATTTTGGTATGCGCTAACGCAGTTTCGGTCGGATTTTGGAACAAAGTCGGAGTACAAACCACAACATGATTATACACCATATCTTGCATCAGCATTTTAGTAAAGTGTTTCAGCTCTTCACTTCTAAAAAACCAATAGTATCTTTCGTCTAATGGAACTTGTACCAGTTTTGTAAATTTTTTATATTAGCTGTAATGTGACGCGTGGACGCAACGTTATCGTTTGATCCATCCAAAATAAACAATGTTCATTAGATTTACTTTTACTCCCATTGTGGGCATTTTCATTTATGTTGTTCTCTTTGATTTGTCTCATCTTTCTTTTATTTAGTTGTTTAAAAAGAAATAAATTATTATCCTGTTTTTTTTTATTCTATATTTACAATATTATTTTTAATTGTCTTTTTATTTATTTTTTATTGATTCAATAAATGAGTTGCTTCAAATCAAAGAGGGACATCTGTCATTTTTAAAACGTTGATAAAAAGCCAATTTTTGTTTTTTACGTTCAACCCTACTGCAAATATACCTTTCAGCTATATATTTTCCTGTATTAAATTCAATGGGGGAGGGGAGGGAGTAATAACACTCTATGCACAGTTTAATTGGCATATATAATCGAAGTAGCAAAAATAAAACTTATATAAAAAAAAAATCCTTTCTAAAGGAAACCTATATATTTTCTCATGCGACTAGTCAAAATAAGGTTTTGGGGAATTTTTTTGACATGTCTTACAAAAACTGAAGTGCGAAAACACTTCAATTAATCTACTCCAGCAGGCTTTACCCGAGCGTTAGACATCGAGATGTGACGGCTCAATCTAATTCACTCTCCACAAAAAAAGAGCAAAACAAACCTAAAGAAGTTTTCACTTAAAAAATGTATGAAAAGTATGATTTCATTTCATTCATGAAAAAGTCATTTAGAATAAAATTCTAAAAATGTCATATTTTTACTCTTTCAAATTAGCGAGCCATATATTTTAACATGGTAAACTTTACTAAATCGTTCGAACTCTTATTTGACTGTAAATTTAAGATGAAATTCGCTTAATCCGTGTATGTTAATGGTTAATTTCTTATATACCTACAAAATTCACCGAATATACTTAGTAAATTTTGATCAGCCTTCATTGTAACACTGATAGATCGAAACATAGCCAAGTGCCTGAAAAAGATTCGGGACCCAAAGTGAGCTCTCTAAAAGATACGCCGATGTCCAGATTCGAACTATTGGAATTCGGGAACCAATTCTATCTATCCTGATCTCCAAATATTACCGTTGGAGAGTTATTCGAATTAGACTGAACACTGAGATGATCCTATTATTAATTTATCAGAATTTCCTTCCAACAAAACATTTGCAACAGACGAAATGCAATGACTCACCGTCACTGCTATCGTATCTAGCCTAAGATACGATTGTTTCCAGGCCGGAAATTGGACGGCAGCCACCGTCGAAAATCCTCTTTTTTGCCAGCACGTCTTAGCTCTTAGGAAGGGATTCACCACGGTGCATGACTCACTCAATAGGTTACGGTCAGGCGGCTATGAGTCAGGTCATTTTACCTGACTTACTCATCTTATCAGGGGGACCGGCTGGTTCTCGAGTTCGGTTTCGAACCACTGGCCTCGGAATTCGGTTAACAGCCTCCCTGAGTCAGCCGATTAAGGCTTTCTGTTGTGGTTGCGTGCCTTCGACCTAAGTCACCATTGTAGGTGAGATATGCTTCTTAGCTTTGGTAGTTCTTACAGATTTAGGGTTCATTAACTAAAAAGTAAAATACTGTATATAATGTTTGTTTTGTTATTTATTCAAATCTTCTTTTGCATCTTCAATTCAATCTTCTTTTCTTTCAGCATAGGAGATATTCTCCTAAATAAATGTTTATTGATGGGATGCAACAACTAAATCGTAAGTAAATAAATGCCAGGATGCCAATCAACTCTTTTCAGTAGAGTGGATGGTGCTTTAATGTCGTAAAGAGATAACAAGAAGATCGAATTTTAGAGGAAGAAAGCAATTTTAAAGAGTCCATGGAGATAGCCAAGGTGGGATGAAAGATTTTGAATGAAAATAATAACGAAAAAATAAAATAAACAGATTGCTTTTCATTAAAGCAGGAAGGTATCCATTTTAACTTAATGTACTGACAGACAATTAGAACTCCTGAATCTTCAGAGCACAGTAATTTTCTTTCGAAGTTTCAGAGATGCGTTAATCTAGCAGCCAAAAGAAACTGATAATTGAGACTGGAGACTAGGGCTCGATAAATAGTAAAGGTGGCGGAAGATGATCATATTCGATGACTCTGACTTATATGAATGTAGTTGTAATTTATTTATGAATGTAAGTTGTAATTTATGGGAGGATAATATGAAACAAATAATGCCTGCGCTAATACACGTTACTTTAAAAACAATCAATTATTTGCATGGACGTCGTTCTGTCTCAATAATTGTAGGAGACAGGAAGATTATAATATATTGCGAACATCTTCTTAGCGGACACTTCTCTATTGCGGTATAGTTTATAAACCCCAGCAAATCTTAAACAATTACTTAGTATTGAGATCTTCCGAATATGGGACTCTTTTCAGAAATATTCTAGAAAACGGACTCGGAATAGCTTGGTGTAAGTTTTCTGATTAATAATTTTCGTCATAACATAAAATAAGAAACCGATGAAGCTCAATCTGAGATCATTCTATTTAAAATAGCATAGTTCAATTATGTGTTTACTAAGAACTCGTTTTGGTGATAAAGGTTAAAGGCTTTGATAGATCTTCTACAGAATAGCTTGAAAAAAAGTAAATCCGCGTTCATTTAAGTTATGTGAAATATTCGTATGAGACATTTTAAAGAAGAAAAAAGTAATTTTATAAATCTCCAGACCTACCTTAGTGATCAACTAACTATCAGAGTCTATTAGAAGTCGCTAAGAAGCTAAGCGCATCAATACATATTAACGCTCGTCTTTGCATTGTTTGAATGATTTGTCAACACGGCTAAACAAAGGAATAATACACTCCTACAATTATAATAGTTAAATTATATATTTTTATGCTTTTTTAAATACAATTGCGAAAGATTATAAGTCATTCTTCGCTCGTAGATGAGGAATATTTATGGACCATTAAAAAAATTATTGGAACGAATGGACCCAGTTATAATATTGGGAAAAATGCTTCCCCACCGTCCCAATAGGAACGACTCCCATTATTCTTCATTTAAGATCTATCCAAACAAACCTCGACATGATTTGAACGGAGGTGGGATCTATCATTCCTTCAGTGGTAAGCCTATGTATTGCCGGTTCGAACTATGTTCAGTTAAAAGATATCCTACTAGCCAGTACAGGGACTAATGATTATGAAGGAGGTCGGAAAGGGCACATATTCGAAGAATCGGCCAGCTTTTCAAGTTACACAACGCCACGGCGATGTTATTACAATGGCGTCACTGTCGGTAAAGAGTCATTTTAACTTGCTGTTTTCGTTGAGGAAGTTGCTTGAACCGAGGTGGCTATAATGGACGAAGTCAGCAAATAAACGGAAATGACCGAAATCTTAGCAGTTTGTAAAAAAACACGTAATTCGAAACTGCCATCAGCAGGGGTGCCTATCTCCCCTTCCCAAGGTTGATGGCGCAAGAACTTACTGCCTCCCCTTCCTCCTAAGATATTTTATTTTTACCTTATTTTAAAAACAGAGCGAACCAAGGTAGAATTTTAAAAAATCATATATCATACACAAATACACTTGCTGCAGTCTGTTCCACGTCCCTCCTCTGTTTCTTATACCGAAAATTCTTAGCCCCTTCAAAATGTGCCCCCTAAATTATTCAAAAATTCATTAAAATACACCTCCATCCTAAAAAAATATTGATAGCACAACTTGTACCATGAATCCCCCTTCCCCCTCGGAATCCCCTGGTCATTAGAACATTTGCTGTGTTTTTAATTTAAAGACTATATGAGAGTAAAATGACCAATAAAAGTAAAGAACATATATATAAAAAATATTATAAAGAAAAGAACTTTCAAAATAGACACAATTTATATCGTGGTGCCCCGATACTTTTCCATTTTACAGCATGATGTTTATCGTAACACCCTATATTTCGACTTCGGTTAGTTGGCAGTCCGAGGGTCGTGCTCAGTGTTGCCCAAATGCGAGACCGAGACGAGTCTTGGTTTTGCAAACTCAGTCTTGGTCTTGGTCTTGCGCAAGAATCTCGCAACAGTCTTGCAAAATAGAAGAAATCTAACTTAAAGAGTTAAATACAAAAGTATATTGATTTTACCAATTCTTCACATATATTAACAAAAATTGTCAAATATTAGTAACTATTTTGACTTGATTTTTATATAAAAAATCGATTTTTTTCACCAGAGTTGGTTTTGGTCTTGCTACAGTTAGGCGGTCTTGGTCTTGCAAAGTGCAAGATCAAGACCGATTTTGGGCAACACTAATCGTGCTAACAAAGTTGAAACCATTTTAGTTTTTCTAAACACTACGTTATACAATATATATAATATGTAATATATATATAATATGTAATATATATATATATATATAATATGTAATATATGTAATATATATGTAATATATATATATATATATATATATATATATATATATATATATATATATAAAATACAAAATATTATATATAGATATCTAAAGCAAAGTGCCACATTACATCATAGATTTTACCAATTTTATTAAACTTGGTATATACCAATGTTACATGGTATATACCAATGATATATATCAATGTAGAATTAAATGATCTTTAATATCCTCTAGGTCCTAACGATTTGATGTTATGGCTTGAATGTCCAATGTTCAAAATTGCTTCCTCTTAAGTACCTATTTCGTTTGTTTTAAGTTATAAAGCGTCTTTCATTGTTAGTAGTAATAAAAAAAAAAAATGAAATATGAATGAGCACCAAATATAAAATATGAAAGAATTTGATAATTGATTGAAGGAGAATAAAAGGAAATTTTTTTTTTGCAGGTTGGAAATGAATTTCTCGAAATAATAATCAAAAGTTATATCGTAGAAAAGCTGAGGATTTTTTTTGAGAAAAAAAATTTCCTTTAATCAATTATTAAATTTATTCATTATTTATGTGTTTTATTTATATTTATTTATTTATTCTTGGCGCTACGGTCCTGTAAGAACCTGGGCCTCTCTTCTTATCCTTTGCCACTCTCATGTATCCCAAACGAGCATTCTCCATCTTCGGATTCTCATACTTTCAGGCTGTCCTCTACCTGGTCCAGCCATCTCAAGCAATATTAAATAGGATAGGGGATAAAGGATTGTTTATATTGTGCTTACTTTTATTACTAATAACAATTAAAGACAGATTATTATTTAAAATAAACCTAATTGCAGGTACTTAAGAGGAACAAATTTATTGGAGGAATATTGAGCATTTAAACCCTGATAGATGACATAAATGAGGATAGGGATTGTGCAAAGGGATTTGGATGATGGGTAAGGTTCTGGTGGAATTTGGAGAATTTTGATGGGATAAGGTCGTACCATCGTAACTCTATTTTGGCAAATTTTACAAAGGAAAATATTAGATTTTAATACAAGTAAAAAGTGATAGAAATTTAGTTCCTATCTAATTCATATTATTTTTACCATGTAGTACAATTCTGACTTATTTATAGAATAAAAATATATGGGTACTTTCGCACTATCTATATTGAGCTAAGAAAGTTGAGTTATGTTGTTTAAATAGATTGATGAGGTTTTATTGATATAATAAATAGGCTTTGGGTTATTATGATCAGTTTTTGCACTGATAAATTTGTCTGACATTCTCAGACATGTTCTTTGAGGTTTTGTTACATTAAAATTGCACGTTTTAATTTTGGCACAAAATAATTTCAAAGTAAAGTAACGGTAAGCGAAAGTTGCGTAATGCTCGCACCAGATTATTTGTATTACTCCAATCTAGTGTATATAGGTCTGTCTGTGTTTTTACTTTACTTAAAGTTACTTCATTTTTATTTATTGCAAATATATTTTTATTATTACTTAGTGGTTATTTTTCTTCCTTCCTCAATATGATCATTCTCCATATTGTGACAGAAGGTTATCTATAAAGTAGACAGAGTTTATAAAAGTAGACAGAGTGACTAGATTTTTATTGCCTACCGTCGATATAATAAATAGACTTTTTGAAATTAGAATGGTCTTAATGATTTGTTATCTGTAAGCTTTAAGCTTTAACTCCGTTTAAAATACACTTGAAACATTTTATAATAGCCCAGATTTTCCAGAAAATAATTTTTATTCCAAGTAGAGCAGTAAGTGAAAGTTGTGTGTTGCGCTCACCAGATTTTTTATATTCGTACCAAGATGCTCCAAAACTCTTACGGTTTAATTCTTAAGTTGAAACTTTTTCCTTAAAATCGGCTAGATCGGGGTAAATAAATCGGGGAGTATATATGTTCAAATCATTACAAAATAACAACTAAAAATAAGTAATCTCATTTATCAAACTACTAGCTGATGTACCGGTAGTTGACGGGTATAGTTAAAATTTGTCATAACAACAATAGTCATAACAAAAACTTTGTTATTCGGCTATTTGTATAGGTACCACACAACTAAACCGACCATCACCGATCCATTAAAATTTGTAAAGTGTTTAATTTTCATTTATGATGAAGCGAGGAGATTCTGGAGTTGATTAATAATTTAATAATAGTTGTAGTCTCTCCACTTCTTTAAACTCTCCTGAGTTTATCGCTGGCAAAATAACCAAAATAACATTGGACATTGAGCCACCTATATCCGTGTAAAATTAGAACTTGATCTGAATATTGTAGCGGGTGGGATGAATTTTTTTGAATTTTCCCCTCTGATTTCCGGCTAATTCGTTTGGTTAATCCTAAAAATGTATAAGACAATATTTTTTAGGTTGGGAAAGTTGAATTGAATGACACCTTGAACGGAAAGATCGGACAAAGTTGAAAAATAAGTGTGTTTTACCCGTTTTATGCGACAACGCGTTACAGATGTTCGGTATTCCCGATTTTTTTAGATGAGTTGTGATAATTTTTCCATCAGTTGAATAGTACAACTTTTAAATTTGGCGGTAGAGTAGGTTGGGATTAGAATTGAAGTAACTGCCTAACCGGGATCTCGAAACAAATTACTCAAGAATTCATAACTTTGGTTCTACTCAATCTTTTGTTTTCATTTAAAGCCTATATTTTAAGTCAAGCAAACCTAAATGTATTGTCGAAATTTCAACAGTCTACCATTAATCATTGCCAAGCGTAACCCTGACAAAATTTTGTTGGACAATGCGGACACCCAGACAGACAAAAATTGTTTTTTAAAGTGGATTTGGTGTCTGTACTGTATAAAACGGAAAGACATCATGAAACGGGTTGATTCTATTCAATGTACATACGAAATCTTTATTTTATTTATATAGATTTTCTTTAACCTATAAACATATGTTTATTATTAACATTTATTATCAACATTAATCGAGATCTCTAGTCAATTTACTCAAGAATCCATGACTTTGGTTATACACAATATTTTGTTTTCATTTAAAGTCTATGTTTTAAGTCAAGCAAACCTTTTTATAATGTTAAAATTTCAAAAGTCTACAATAAGTCGTTGCTGAGCTTATCCCTGACAAAATGTTGTTGCAATGCGGAATATGAAACGAAAAGATATCACAAAACGGGTTGATTCTATTCAATGTAAAGACAAAATCTTTGTTTTATTTATATAGATTGTAGTGGTATCCTTCATTTAGACTAGTTACTTTTGTAAGTGAAATTATTTATTTACTTTTTAATTTTTTTATTTGCGAATTGATCACTTAGGATCACGGTACAATTTCATAACTTCTTTGTTCTGAAGTTATCTCTTCTTCTAGTATACCATCATAAGATATTGATGTTTATCAATTTATAGTTGATTGACATTCTGTTTTTACCGAAATGTACTGCTGTATTTTGGCGTTCCAGGCGATGGAATTTTTATTGTAGATGTTTTTAATTAAATCACAAGCTCTCTCCTTTTTTGAGATTTCTCCCGCCGCTGGTCTATTCTCTTGTGTTGTTACACCAGGATATTTTTACTTTTCTTACCTTGTCAATCCGGTCATTCTCTGTTTCAAGAAATTGTTGTCCAAATTTGTCATTCGTCAAAAGCTTGGTCTTCTCTTTTACGATTATTAGCCCTGTCTTGCCTACGATAATTTCTAGCAGGTTGATTAGTAAGGCTACCTTTTCTAGGTTCTCTGAGAGTATTGGAATGTCATCAGCGAATGCCAAGCAGCTAACTATGAGTCCTCGCGGTTTTATTTTATTACATATTCATTTTAAACTGTACTTGAAGATCAATAAAGATTTTATAAATTAACTATAGTATACCTAAAAATTATTTTGTTGTGTTTTTTTTTTTTTTTTTTATCATTGGAACGAAGAAACTTAAACAAAACAGGAATAATAATTTTTATCAAGGAAGGAGAAGGTCCGGGGTGGCGGTGATAAATAGGCTAAATAGTTGTAAAACTATTTTATTAAAAGCCAACGTTTCGACCCGACTTTAGAGGTCTTCTTCAGGGCTAGAACGGACAATAAATAATAAATGCAAATGTGAATATACTTCTTCAGATCTACAGGAGATATTGAAAGAAAAGGAAAAAGGATATAATATGAAATAATAGACATGATTTATTACACTACAACAATTGTTGCATCTATTAACTTCAGTTTAGGATCTTGTTACTTAGCTTACTTTGTTCATATTTAAATGTACTTACTGTTTATAATTTTAATAAGCTTATTCACATTGTTTATAATTTTTTGTCTAAATATTATGTAACTTCCACAATTCTCTATCTTTTTATATCTTGCCGCGTTCTAGCCCTGAAGAAGACCTGCAAAGTCAGATCGAAACGTTGGCTTTTAATAAAATAGTTTTACCACTATTTAGCCTATCTATGACCGCCACCCCGGACCATCTCCTTCCTTTATAATGCAACGGTCAACTATTAAATATTCAATAATTTTTATCTTATTTATTGACACATACAAGAGCTAAAGTTTTTAGTTGAATACCAATTACCTGTATTGAAGCCTGGAGTAGTCACCATAGCAATGTGCCCAAGACATTTTTAATAAGATTACTATTTTAAGCGAAAATATATTAAATATGATTCCGAAAAATCGACATATGTTAAATTGATTCAAATTTATAATAACTGTTAAATAGAAGTTTTGAAGTGATCAGGTTATTTTACGATTCTAAATCCATGAGTACTAAATAAGACTGGGAAAATGAAATATTTGATAGTAGGTATCATCACGCAGTTGAGTATACTGTCCTCAATCCACTTCATGCTCAGATACAAGGAGGCAGGAGGAGAAGGCTGCAGCCGGCCGCAGCGCGGTGCCAGCCGGGGAGTGCTCCTGCTCAGCCACGGCCAGAGCGACATGGACGGCAAGGCGGTGGGCCGCGTCCTCTACCAGCAGACTGTGCTCCAATGGGAAGAGCTCTTCTCCGTTCTGGCGGGCATCAAGGACCACGTCGTCTTCGGCCGTTCTTGCGGCGTCGGCAGCGTCCTCAGTTCGGTCGACGCTGTCTTCTACTTCGGCCCGGACGGTGTCCTGGACAAGTTCAACCAGAGCTCCCTATACTTCTCTTTTACATATCCCATGGCAAGGATGGATGAGGAGCCCTTGATCGATAATGACAAATTTGTTTTTGAAACGTTTCACCAAGTTCTAGATTCTTCACAAACTAATGACACGATTAGAGAAGGATTAATGAGTAAAGTTCTGTTTGTTCTTTACTTGACATCTGCTGCTCTTGCTGGTTTGAAATATCCGAACAATGAAACCATGATATATGAAACTCAACATTTTTTAAGCAGGGAAACGTCAAATTTTACTAAACACCTACAAAGTTTCTATTCCGACGAAGATACAGTCTTCTTATCAGTCCCTCACTGGTCAATCCTGAAAGAACAAAATCCGAAACTGAGTGTATTTGGTCGAGGAACTTCGAGAAACCCATCAACGACCATTGAGCTAGCGGATGTGTGCCCATTACTGGCAGTGCTGCTAGGGATTCCGATACCTCAAGAATCTGTTGGCCGACTTCCCCTCTCATACCTAAATATGTCTCAAGAAGAAGAAGCGAAAGCGCTTGCGTGTAATGCTTTACAACTTCATCAACTGGTATTTCCACCAGAATCCTCATACCGGAAACAAAGCATCTCCACTATTATGGACTACATAAATAAAAAGCAATATGCTCAGAGCATGCTGTTCAGCGAACAGATGATCAAGATAAGCCAATCATATCTTCATAGATCCCAACAGACATTTGACAGAATTATTTTTTCTATAGTGATAATATCACTGGTTGGATGGATTTTGCTCTTGATAACTGTGCCAATGATCGGTTCTTCAAGTTCAGTTCAGATACCAAGAAGGTCATCATTTGCTATTTTAATAACTTTTAGCACAGTAGCTTTATTCGAGATATTTTACGTCACCTTGGAGTTGGATGATCCGTTGATATACATAACGTTCATGCTCTTGTCACTGCTCCCGTGGATATTAGTATTCATCAGGTATAAAATCATATGGCATTGGTGCCTTGGCCACGCTAATGTACAGACACTTCTTAATATCTGCACCATGGTCTTGTTAGAGGAGGCATTGAATGTTTCTTTCAATGGTGATTTTTTAACAGTTTTCTTTATTACTGTGATTGGTTCACTTCCGCTTATTCCTCGGTTTCATAAAACTCCATTTCTTTACTCGGTTGGATGGTATGCTAGTTGTGGTTTGATTATAGGTTTACTAAATATCCCAATAGAGTTATTGAAAGCTAGAAGAAAATTAATAAATTTTGCTTCGACCTTTTGGCTATGCTTTGGTCAAAGTTCGGTGTTCTATTTTAACCTTAAGTACGATGCAATTATTTCTCAAATACTAGTTATTTATATGTCAGCGTCAACTATTTTAACTAACGCATTTATCTTGATGCCTTATGCTCAACCATATTGGTATTATATATCATGGTTTACCTTGACTGCTTTTATTTTTCCACTTGTTGGGAAGAACAAAACTTTTCCAAGATTCGTTCATTTTTCTTTGTCATTTGGTCCCTCTCTCCTCCTAATGTCTAGACACATCGAATCTCTCTCATACTTTGTCCTCGTATTCTTTTTCATGTGTTGGGTTTACCTCGAGAGGTCTCATTTGACAACTTCTGATGGCCACTGGTGTAACCTTAGGAGAGGAGTCTTATTGGTCTTCAGTTGTTGTCTTAGTTACCTCTTGATGGGAAATATTGAAGCTCATACTCCGACTTCATTTTTAACTCCGTTTATGCCAATCCATATTTATTTAAACAACCCAGTGCCTTACTATGCAATGCTGTTTTTCAAACATGTAGCGGTTCATGCAACATTGATGACCATATACATCTCACTTATAAATAATAAATGGAAAACAGATTTGGGATTCGTGTATGGATTGATTTTTATTGAAATGATATGCCTGAGATTCCTAGTGCAATTATTGTTTTTCACGAACCATATAAGTGAATTGGTTTTCAGGAATATTTTTTTTAATATGTTTGCAATTTCTTACATGGTGTCGTATTGTGTAGGACAAATATACGCAACAAAATACGTCCAGAAGGACATTAAAGATTTAAGTATATTATATTTTCTGCAAAATTCGACTTAGTTATGAAGGGAATGGCAAAATATATATGTTTGGTAATCAATAATAGTATAGATTAATTTCTAATTATAAGTATCTATTCTTAAATTAGATAAAATGAAAATGAAACTTTAGTTTTAATAACTATTTTTTATAATATCAGATTCCTATAATGGAGTAGTTCACTCAATCCGGAACTCTTGTATCTGAGTTTGAGTCTAGTTAATGGCAGCACAGCCTTCAAATAGATACAGCAGTAAATCGACACTGAAATTCGAAGACAATCCTCCGGCACACCCAGGCTCTATAAAGTTAGAAATTGCTATCATCTCTCATTGGCTGTTGAGCCAAACAGCGAAGCGCTGAACGGTATAGACGTGCTTCAGTGTCCTCTGGAATATGGAGTGTGACCTAGTATAGCACGATCGTTAAGCTAGTCAGCGTCTATCGTACGTCATCACCTAGTCGACACTTGGAAGATATCAGCACATATTTGCGGTGAAAGAGGCAAGCGAGAAAAGAGAAGAGTCAGTTATAGTCGCAAATGGAGGCTGGGATTAATGGGACTTAATAGAAAAAGCACTTTTAGTAGGTGTAGAGGGGTACAGTTTCCATCGATGGAATGAGTAGAGCCTTTTGCTTTTCATTCTTGATGTATCGTGCTAATGATTGGCCGACTGCAGTTTATCGACTCCTCTAAAACGCCTCCTAAATCTGAGTGCTACCTTTTCACGGCATGAGAGTTGGGTCTCTATAGCTGCAATATTTATGGATTTTACATACGACTGTAATTACCTTCAAACCTTTATTTTGGATGATGTTTAGCTTACTTTGTGAGCTAGCGCTTGCTGTGACGTTGACTTCGCTCCTTCATTCCAATATAGGTCTTATATGAGACTTGTAGGTATTCTTAGGGGCATGTAGATTAACACGCTGTCTGTTGTATTAAGAGACGTGTTCTTTATTCCACCTTTTCCGCACAGTGGTCCTACATCTTACAGAAATGTAAGTTTATCTAGTTTAACCCCAAAATATGTGAATATATTGCTTTCCTCCGGCGTCAATACGTTGCACTGAAGATGGGTCTATGTTATATTGGTCAATACTGAGAAAGAATGGAAAGTGGGCTGTGATGCATTTACTGTCATAGAGCTTCGTTTCGTCCATAGTTCTAGTTTTACCAGAGCCTCATTTAAACAGAATTCAATTGAAAAAATGGTTCTAATGATAGTAACAACTGACCCTTCAATGATTTCTGGTATAAACCAAGTAGTTAGCGAGAGTAGATTATTTCCTTGGATAAACATTCGTCATGAAACAGCAACTATTTACCTATAACTCACCCCGAAATCCTTTATAGGTTGTAGTGGTAGTTATCTATTTTATTTTGAAATATAAGATATAGAACCACATACAGAATCTCGTCACTCATCTCAAATTTCATGTCAGGAAGACAGCGAGGTAAAGAAATGTAGTTTGAAGCAATTTATCAGAAAACCACTACACAGCAATGAATACCTCAATAGTAGACAAGAGACACGTTGAAACCAGATGGATAGATCAAATCAATAAAGAAATTGTATAGCTGTATACAGATAACTAGGAAGAAACAGCCCAACATAGAAGATGCTGGTTAAGCGTCCAAAGACCTACAAATTATGTACAGCCAAAATAAAAAATATATAAAAATACATATTAAAGGAGTACCAATTTTAGGTATTTAAATATTCATTTATTTTTTTAAATGATAACGCCAATATGCTTACATGAGAAAATGCCAAGATACTATTGCTCTAACTTTTGAAGACTCAGAGTAAAGATATTTAGTCCTCGACGTGCAGCCCTTTGTGTCCGAACCAATGATGTCAGTTGAGCAGCTAATAAATCCAGCGAGGAGCTATTGGAACGGGGTGATTGTGGTGAAAAGAAAGCTAGGACTATTTGCAAATGTGGGTATAATGCCCATTGCGGAGGAGGAAGTGGAATAGACAGATGAAGAAGAATGCGGGATAAAAAGAGATGATGATTATGATGAGAAGACAGTTATGACGGTAAGGCTGGAGCTAGGGGAGGAATGCGGGGTACCACAATTGTGTCCGCACTACATTCCCATCCGCTCACCTTTTCTTCTTAACATAGCATCTGACGCTGTTTCTGGATTCGGTCTTAAATTCGAAGAAAACTTATAAATTTCAAGTTAACTAATATACTATTATTTAACAGTATAGTAAAAAAAAAACTCGCGGACTAGAAATCCTTCCTTCTCTCTAATTCATTTAAAGTACAAGAGATGTTATGGAACTTTTTGTTCTATAAATGATACTTCAGCTGTGAAATGAGCTTTCTATATATAAAAAAATAACAACATACAATAAATGTTATAATAACATCATGTGTGAATTATTTGCTAAATTTCATATTTTTAAATAGTTTTTAAAATTTTACAATCTTATCAAAAAAACTTCAGTGGGCCGTAGTTTGGAGACCCCTAGATTAAAGCGTAGTAGTTAAATTTAATAAGGTGTCCACCCAAGCAACTTTCTTTACCCCTTTTCCTTCAAAGTTCAATTTCATTCGAATGTAAAAAAAATCCGGAATTACCTTTGATCAGCATTTCTTCTGGATTACCATATATTCCATTTTACACAAAAATCCATAACTGCCTGAAACAATTCCCTTAAATTCCATGTCAATCCTTTAAAATACCCGGCAACTCCAAGTATTCTCTTTTTGTACCCACACTCCGGCTACGGTTGCTTGGTGTACGGCATATCAGCTGGGCTACAGATGTGACTGAAAAGACTTTAGAACTACTTCATATGATTCATCTTGGGATTTTCCAGGCACTCTTACGTCTCCTGTTGTTACCAGTTAGATGCGTTTCACTAACAGATCCTTATAACCAAAAAACCTTCAATTATCTTAAAACTCTTACTTTAGGTTTCAATATCCACTCTCTTAACTCTCTCAACCTATTGATTTACATAGTCCCTCTTATAAAACCATTTCCTTCAGCAAATCGTAAGTCGTGATTCATCCTTCTGGATTATCTTACGCACCTCTGTTCGTCGATCCTCCTCCTCATGTTTCATTGAACACAATTTATTTCTTAACCTACTTCATAATTAAACAGCAATAATATAAGCAATATTAATTTCATTAAAAATTACTTTAAGGTTTTTCAAAAAAAATTAAGCTATGAAATTTTTCTAAAATCAGAACATTGTTGTTTTGTTTATGCATGTTTTTCAATATTTTTTTTGGAGAGCGATTTAGATCGAGCCGTCTGATCTCCGATGTGTAACGTTCGTATAAAATCGGTTGGAATCGACTCATTGAAGTGTTTTTCCATATGGATTAAAACATCTCAAAAACTAAAATTCGAATCTGCATATTGTTGGAAATTAAAATGTTCACTATTTCTTCTTCTTTGTAATGAGCTATTATTTCAAATCTTATCGGGAGAAGTGTATATAGTTAAAATTTCAGAATCTTTGAGATGGATTTTGTATTATGAGGGTCCAAATGCAATTTCATAAACTTGGGTCGCTAGGAGGGAGAGTTATTTTGTTTTGTTTTTTATGGCACGGCTTATGGAAGTCAAGGTTTCGCAATAGTCATAACAAAACCTTGTTATTAGGCTCATTGTTTAGGTACAACACAACTAAACCGACCACTACCGATCCATTAAAATTTGTAAAGTGTTTAATTTTCATTTATGATGAAGCGAGAAGATTGTGGAGTCGATTAATTAGCCTCGCCACTTCTTTAAACTCTGCTGAGTTTATCGCTGGCAAAATAATCAAAATAACATTGGACAATGAGTCTTGTCCTTTGCATTGCATGCGTATAAAATTAGAATTTGATCTGAATATTGTGGCGGGTAGGATGAAATTTTTGGGAGTTCTTTTTTTCCTGATTTCCTGTTAATCCGTTTGTTCATTCCTAAAAATGTAAACGACAAAATTAGGCTGGAGAGGTTGAATCGAATGACACCTTGAACGGGAAGATCAGGCAAAGTTGAAAAATGAGTGTGTTTTACCCGTTTTATGCGACAACGCGTTACATATGTTCGGTATTCCGGATTTTTCCCGTCGAGTAGTAGTAATTTTTTCCATTAGTAGAGTACTACAACATTTAAATGTCGCTTGCGATAGATTAGGTTGGGATTAGAATCGAAGTAACTCCCTAACCGGGATCTCTAAATAAATTACTCAAGAATGCATACCTTTGGTTCTACTCAATATTTTGTTTTCATTTAAAGCCTATATTTTTAGTCAAGCAAAGCTAAATATAATTTCAAAAGTCTACTAGTAGCCATTGCCGAGCTTACCTCTGACAAAATTTCGTTGCAATGCGGACATACAGAAACAAATTTTTTTTTTTAAAAGTGGATTTGGCGTCTGCAATGTATGAAACGGAAATATATCATAAAACGGGTTGATTCTATTCAATGTACAGACAAAACCTTTATTTTTATTTATGTAGATGATTTTTAACCTATAAACATATGTTTATTATTAAAATTTATAATCAACATTGACCGAGATCTCTAGACAAATTACTCAAGAATTCATAACTTTGGTTTTACTGAATATTTTGTTTTCATTTAAAGCCTATGTTTTAAGCCAGGCAAACCTTTTTATAATGTTAAAATTTCAAAAGTCTACAATAAGCCGTTGCTGAGCTTACCCCTGACAAAATTTCGTTCCAGTGCTGACATACAGACAGACAAACATTTTTAAAGTGGATTTGGTGTCTGCAATGTATGAAACGGAAAAATATCTCAAAACGAGTTGATTCTATTCGATGTAAAGACAAAATCTTTTTTTATTTATATAGATGTGGATTAAAATATCTAATAGACTAAAAAGCGGATCTGCATACTATAAGCGAGGGAAATGTTGAGCATTTCATCCTCTTTATAATGAACTATAAGTTATAATTTATGTTTCATATTATTAATCTCGCCTTATTGACGTTTTCATCTCTATCGCGTGGTTAAAATCAAGGAGTAAATCAACATCAAAATTTAAATTCGTGTATTTAGTTCAATGAGGGATATACCGTGGGTGATGACGTACTATCCAAAAGATTAAGGAATGCAAGTCCCGAGACTGCTGAAGATATGGCGGAGGAGCGGGGAAAGTGAAGTATGCCCCGGCCTTGGAGTACGTGAAAGCACGTCCTTGGAAGGACAATAACAGAACTGACTTCATCTTTTTTCGTCGAGCGACGCCCACACCTGCTCCGGGCACCTGCCGCTCCTCCGATGTACTACATATGGTTCCCTGACCTCAGCCAGTCTTATCTATCTCTACCCCACTATTGTTTCCAAAGGCAAAAAATAATATCTCGATGGTTGTTGAGATCTGAATAGGTAGAAAGGGTTATACTCACTATATACAAAAAAAACTATATACAAACATTTTGTAATGTGTTGAAATAACCAAAATAACCTACATATTAAAAAGAAAACTTGTTGACAGGGTAATGAAAAATAATAATTATATACCGTTATAATGACGCATTTTACATAGATGCATTTTACTTTTCGAAAGCATAATGTGCCTTCAAGAATCGCATGAGTAACGACATGTTTGCGTGTCCCTCCTTACTTTTGTAGGTCTTCAAGATGTCCCGAAAGATTGTGTCAAGTGGATGTGCAGAGGTTCTGAAGATTATCCTTAGGGATGCCCAATTAGGGTCATTCTTTCCCATTTTTTGTAGTTTTCAAGGGATGAATTTCTTCTTCTATTTTTTGTCAAAAATGAATTTACAAGAGTTTATTGGTGACAAGAACATGACCCACCGAGATATTTTCAGTTTTGCAAACACTAAAAATTCGAGTAAGACTTTCCAACTAAGGAACAAAGGGAATCTATAATACAATTTTTATAATTTATCTTTCATAGCCACCATTTTTAAGAAGAGGAAGGCAATCATTTATTTAGAAAAGTTGGGGGTTGCATACATCATCATCCTTGGGTGATGGAGGATGGGCACCCCTTGGGAGCAAGCATGATTTGGCAAAACTTCTTATGGACTAAAGAAATTTCTTCAATCCTCTTCACAGGATTAATGTTCCATGAAATTGGTTTTGATACAGGAGTTGGTGCCTGTTCTAGCCATCATGAGAGGTTATTATATAGGTACAACTAAACCTATTTTAACCAGAGTGGGAAGGTCAAGATTCATTCAGCGTGTCCGTCACAAAATAAATTTCATCACGTTCAGCTCCGATTCGAGAATGCCGCTGGAACCTTGTGCCGCTAACTCGAGAATGATAAAGAGGACTCGCCCACCACTCGATAGATCGAATCAATATAAATTCAGTAGAGCTACATACAGATAACTGGAAAGAAAAATCTCGAGATAGGCAGATACGGAATAGCCTCGTTAAGGAGGCTATAGATCTTCAGTCTTAAATGCCATCAGAAAAAAAAATCTGGTGCGCGCAACACACCAATTTCAGTTTCCTCTCTGCTTTGAATAGAAATTATTTTCTAGCATTGTTGGGCTATTATGAAATTTTTTAAATACACTTTTAGCGGAGCTAAAGCTTAAAGCTTAGAGATAAAAAATTATTAAGACCATTATAATTAAAAAAAGCCTATTTATTATATCGACAGTTGGCTATAAAAATCTTGTTACTCCGTCTGCTTTTATAAACCACACAACTCCAGTCTCTGAGCCTTTCAGTTGATACTGAACGACTAACTCCGATTTCAATATTTTTGAGTAATGTCATTTTAGTGATATTTCTAGTTGGAAAAGTTATATCTATACAAACAGTGAGCAAGTTGATTCCAGAGTAGGTGATTGCAGTGTTGAAATATAGAACTGTGAATAAAAGTATAAATTTTCCAACTAAAAACATCACTAAAATTAATAATAAAAAATGTTAAAATTGGAGTTAGTCATTCTGTAAACTGAAAGGCTCATATAGGCCTAGAGAGATATGAATGTACATCTGAATTTTAACCTA